CTTCACGACATGGCGGCAGCAACAATACTACAGCGAGAATAAAAGTTACACCTTCTTTCTTTGCGTGAACATTTGGGCGGCGTTATGCAAATCTTCCCACATCGTGACGTAGACATGTGGGGGCATATTAGAACGAGCCGTTTTAGGTAGGCGTGGTTGACTCTTAACTTTTATAAAGATATCTCTTTGGATTTGAGACTTTAGTCTTTGCAACTTTACAGATCTTTCTGCCTACTAGGTCATATCATACTGATTCATTGAGTCATCAATGAATATATTTCACAAAATGGGACCCTCAATCCTTACATGGATTGATAATATAAAAGTTTTTGTTTTCTACTTTGTCTTAAGTCAAATTAGAGAATTCAAATCTTTATGTAAGTAAGGAACTACAGTTGCATCTCAATAAATTAGAATGTCATGGAAAAGTTCATTTATTTCAGTAATTCAACTCAAATTGTGAAACTCGTGTATTAAATAAATTCAATGCACACAGACTGAAGTAGTTTAAGTCTTTGGTTCTTTTAATTGTGATGATTTTGGCTCACATTTAACAAAAACCCACCAATTCACTATATCAACAAATTAGAATACTTCATAAGAACTTCATACTTCAATAAAAAAAACATTTTTAGTGAAATGTTGGCCTTCTGGAAAGTATGTTCATATACTGTACATGTACTCAATACTTGGCAGGGGCTCCTTTTGCTTTAATTACTGCCTCAATTCAGCGTGGCATGGAGGTGATCAGTTTGTAGCACTGCTGAGGTGGTATGGAAGCCCAGGTTTCTTTGACAGTGGCCTTCAGCTCATCTGCATTTTTTGGTCTCTTGTTTATCATTTTTCTCTTGACAATACCCCATAGATTCTCTATGGGGTTCAGGTCTGGCGAGTTTGCTGGCCAGTCAAGCACACCAACACCATGGTCATTTAACCAACTTTTGGTGCTTTTGGCAGTGTGGCCAGGTGCCAAATCCTGCTGGAAAATAAAATCAGCATCTTCAAAAAGCTGGTCAGCAGAAGGAAGCATGAAGTGCTCCAAAATTTCTTGGTAAACGGGTGCAGTGACGTTGGTTTTCAAAAAACACAATGGACCAACACCAGCAGATGACATTGCACCCCAAATCATCACAGACTGTGGAAACTTAACACTGGACTTCAAGCAACTTGGGCTATGAGCTTCTCCACCCTTCCTCCAGACTCCAGGACCTTGGTTTCCAAATGAAATACAAAACTTGCTCTCATCTGAAAAGAGGACTTTGGACCACTGGGCAACAGTCCAGTTCTTCTTCTCCTTAGCCCAGGTAAGACGCCTCTGACGTTGTCTGTGGTTCAGGAGTGGCTTAACAAGAGGAATACGACAACTGTAGCCAAATTCCTTGACACGTCTGTGTGTGGTGGCTCTTGATGCCTTGACCCCAGCCTCAGTCCATTCCTTGTGAAGTTCACTCAAATTCTTGAATAGATTTTGCTTGACAATCCTCATAAGGCTGCAGTTCTCTCGGTTGGTTGTGCATCTTTTTCTTCCACACTTTTTCCTTCCACTCAACTTTCTGTTAACATGCTTGGATACAGCACTCTGTGAACAGCCAGCTTCTTTGGCAATGAATGTTTGTGGCTTACCCTCCTTGTGAAGGGTGTCAATGATTGTCTTCTGGACAACTGTCAGATCAGCAGTCTTCCCCATGATTGTGTAGCCTAGTGAACCAAACTGAGAGACCATTTTGAAGGCTCAGGAAACCGTTGCAGGTGTTTTGAGTTGATTAGCTAATTGGCATGTCACCATATTCTAATTAGTTGAGATAGTGAATTGGTGGGTTTTTGTTAAATGTGAACCAAAATCATCACAATTAAAAGAACCAAAGACTTAAACTACTTCAGTCTGTGTGCACTGAATTTATTTAATACACGAGTTTCACAATTTGAGTTGAATTACTGAAATAAATGAACTTTTCCACGACATTCTAATTTATTGAGATGCACCTGTATATTTATGTCTGATTAGCTGTAATAATACTAAAGGAAACAGATTAGCTGAAATTATTTATTTCTGCCCACAAAGATCATTATAAGCTGATACGATGATATCTTCATTCGTCCTTATTTTTACACACATTAATAACAAAATCAAGAGTAATCTCAGAAAAAAAAATTCTAATGGCATGCATGGGCAAAACCTACATGATGTGCATGCGCACACAACCACACACTGGGGCAATTATAGTACATTTGTAGGTCAAGTACATAGAGGCACATATCTGTTTTAATATTTATCTGTAGAAGTTACCTGATTGAAAATCACTGAGAAGTATCAACAAGTGCATTTAAAAATACCCCGATCGTGAAATCTAACCCACATTTACTTGTGTAAATGAATTGGATTCAAATGATGTGATCCAGTTTGTCTTTCAATTCCAACAGATTTTATTTCAATTAAAGGTAAAGAACACAATAAATTAAACAGGAAAAAAACTAAATGTCCAATCATTTGGAGAAATGTTGATAGTAATTGTGCCTGGCACTTGGGCCAATGACACTTGAGGTCTAAAGCTTGTACAAATTCTCATTGCCAAAAATTCTAATTTCCCAGTCCCAAAGTCATATTTCCCATAATTCCACATGAAAGTGGCCAGCCTTCTAAATTCAGATGCAGAGTGATGGCATACAGTAGAGCACATCCTTTAAAACTTGAGCATGTTTCCAAGGGCAACAGAATTAAAGCTGCGATTCTTCTTTAAAATGTACTTTCAAGTGGCCCTTCATAACATAACACCATAATCTGTGCTTTCTCAAAGTAGAGGGAAAAAAATTTAATCAACCAAGCAACTCACTGTTTGATCAAAGCTTTGCACCTGTACACCAAATCGAAAGAAAAGCACTAAATGTATACTAAAAGTATACCAGATTATTATTTTTTGGTATAATATTCATTACTTAGTGTACGTTAGTAATATAGAAGCGTGTGCTGTATATACCTTTGTCAACACTTAGTAAGTTAAGCTCTCAGAAGGTTCATCCTTCAAAAACAAAATAGAATATAATAAGGAAACATTTTCTCGAATATCACTGATAAATCCATGGAACTGGCACAATATAATTACTTCTGAAAGCCACATGGCTTGCTGTCCATAGAAAGGCAAGATTGGAAAGTTTTACACTGTTTTTCAAGAAAGGAAATAAAAAATGAAACAGATAATAAAGCTTAGCCTCCAGCACTTAATAATAATAACAATAATTATAATCATAATAACAATAAGAATTACAACACCAACAGTAACCATAATAATTCAAACTTGTTAATCATAAAGCATAATAAAGCGTTTTAGTCCCATTGTCAAAGATTCTGGCACAGATTGTTAAAACGGTGAGTAAAAAGACATTCATGAACCTGGTCCTTCACGCACTCGTACACACACACACACACTGAGTCAAACAGAATGGTAAGGATGTGTAAAATGACTAGACAATCTCTCCCTCAAACACACACAAACTAAATAAATAACCATTTAAAACCAATAAATGAACAGCAATTTCACTTTACAGCACACATCAGTTCCCATGGTCTCATTACTAAGTGTTTTTGTGTTTCGTCATCTTAAATGGACTGATAACAAAAGAAAGCTGTGGTTCACTGATTAAGAAATTGATGCATATTTCTGAATATTCCAGAAGTTAGAGCAATAAATATTTAGTGGGAAGGCATGATATCTCCCTGTCACATCACACGGCTTTAAGATTTCAGAGGCAGACTCAGTACAGTAGAATGGCAAGGCTGTGAGGAAACGCAAAGTACGTCAAACGTAAAAAGAGGGACGAGAGGAGAGAGTCTGAAATCATTTCAGTAAAGGCTTTTGAAGTTAAACACCCCCACACACCAAACCTACAACTTACACACATTTGCATACAGGTTTTGTTTTGTTTTGTTGTTTTTTTTAATAGAAACACCACACTGGAAACCCTCTGTATAAAACCATACCATCCCTGACTGAGTCCACTATGGAATGCAAATAATGAGGAAATATTACAGTGGGACACAAGTAATATTTCCATAAATCTACTCGTATATCTCCTCCAGTCTCTCTCATTTGCCATTGCTGAAGACAAGTTTTCTCTCCCATAATAGAGAGAATAAAGATTGTTGAGAACTAGAAAGATTAGTTTCTGCATAGTGTTCACCCACCTTCCCCTTTACCGTTCTTTGTTGAAAACACAAAATCAACATCTCACTTATATGTATCTATATACATGATTTTTCCACTCGAAATAAATGTTGAAGAATGAAAATTGCAATGAAATGAAACATTACAAGGCATACATTATAATTAGCAAACCTAGCACAAATGTTCATATATAACAGTCATAAGGACATACTGTGTATCCTTAAAGGTAGGTGCGGTCACCATATTCATCTATGTAAATTAAACTGCAGAAACAGGGAATCGATAGGACTCTAGTCAACGTTTAAAGTGCAAGTCTGTTGCAGTTTCTCTTCGCAGAAAACAACAATGTGCCAAAAAAAACTGGTGCAAGTCTTCTGACGTGAACTGCTGCGCAATAGATTAGCCAGCGCCCCCTGGTGGCAGCTGACCATATGGCAAGATCACATCTTTCGTACACTTTGTCTGTTTGACCCATCAAAGCATGGTACTGATTTGGACAGTCTCCCGAGACAACACAATCTCTTTTGTCTGAAGAAATAGCAAACACATACACAGAAACCCGTTTGGTCCTCAAGGAAGAAAGGAGACAAACTGAAGCCTGGGTCAGAAGCACATGGAGTCGGGGGCGAGAGGACTCTCCACTGTCTCTCCTTCGGCAGCCCTGTGGGCATCTCAAGGATCTCTTTGTATCCAGCGCCTCCCACATGCTGAGATCCGATTGCCCCGCCTTAAGCATATCTCCTTATAGGAACAGGTGGTAAACCTTGGAATAGTATCCAGGCATTGGACTAGGAGATCCAACTGAAGTCTTTCTCGCTTCCCGTCCTGGCGTCTCCTTCCAGAGCCGAGTCGCTTTCCTCTTTGCCATCGTCCATTGCTCTGTCGTCTCGCTGTGACATCCCTGAGCCAGGCCGCCATTTTCCATTCTCCTCCTCTTCTTCACCTTCTCCCATCAGCTCCGCTTCCACCATCATCTCCTCTTCCCCGTCACCATCGGCGGTGTCATCGGGGAAACGGTGGTCACCGGGATACAAGAGTTCCTCTTCTGGCGAGCCATCCTCGCCATTCTGGTCCAGCAGGGCAGCCATGCCTCGACCTGAGCAGTCTGCACAGACGCCGTGACGACGAGAGCCGTGCTTGATGCCCACGCTGGCAGCAGACATGAAGACGCGACTGCATACTTTACACACGTACTTCTTGTCCTTACTGTGCACCTGAGAAAGAGTGACAATGCCTTGTTAAGAGACAGCATTTCATTTCTTTTCAAAAAACTTCTGTGGCAGTACCATCATAATACCGTGGTACAATATTCATTTATTACAGCTAGAAGCTACATGAGGCTTACAATGACCCTGTTTACGCTTGGAATAAAGATGTGTCTCAGGTGATCTGTGGCTGGTTGCATACAAGTTAGCCATCTCATTTATTCTTCAACACTGGTCATTACCAAGTCAGTTACATAGAAAGGTACATTAGTCTAATTTGAATTAAAAAAATATATATATATGAAAAAAGACTTAGCCAACTGCTAGTTGATCAAACTAGTTTCTTAAACAGTCTTAACATAGTGGCTGTGTTTATGCAACTGGCCCCTGATCAAGCAAAGAATGTTAAAAACATGTAAACAGGGTCTGATGGGCTATTTTGAGTTTGAAAAATACTGAAATTATATTTGTAGATAGTCAAATGCATGCAGCCACATCAGATTTATATTGTATGTAATAATCAATCCTAACCCATCCCGGAAAGCACATACAATAAAGCATGCACTCAGTTAATAGTTTTTTTTTTTGCTCAACATATGCTGCAGCAACAGCAATATGATAAAAGTCCCAAATGTTCAATAAATAGTTTGATTTATTAACAATAATTATTTTGCAAAATAATACAGGTTACTTGTTGGGAATCACTGACATGCAGTAATTCATTAGGCTATTTACAGTTGCCTAGCAACATGGCAACCTACCACATTAATGTAGAATGTACATTTCATCTGCAATTTATCTGCACTTTATAATGGCTTTGAACACATTCACTTTAACATGTTTGAAAAACACTTATCCAAAACGCTTAACATTGAATTCAAAGTATGCATTTTATCATTACAAGGATTCCTTTGAGATTCAAACCCAAGACCTCGACATTGCTATAATGCCACGCTCTAGTGTGGTACATTTTATTAGCATTACATGTATACATAAACTGTAAAAGCATCTCAAACAAAACTGTGTATCTGCAGTCGCTGCTGGATTCACAAGGGAAGAGAAGCATTCAGCCAATTACAGTCTCTTGTGCAGACCTTTGAATTTTTCACCACATTATAACGAAGCGGTGACAACATGTGGCGGTGTAGCATATCGGTTGTGATCCATCATGGTGTGGATCATGAATTAAGCAATGTTTAGGTGTTAAACGTTTCAGCGCTAAGCAGAAGCAGTGCTGTCTGTTATCATGTCACACTATTACAGGCCCTTTGATATGCACAAAACCAGAGCTAATTTCTGTGGCACGTCTCGTAGCCACACAGAGACCAAGAACATGCGCCAAAGCGTGTTTATGTGTGCTTTCCTTGAGAAGATACAGTAAATACAGGCTTTAAGAAAGAAAAAAAGGAGAGGAGGTGTTAAAAAACTGCTGGCAATAAGGGCAGAGAAAAACTGAGATAAGAGGGGTTTATGGGATATGGCAGAATGCTTATTTAATAGGGGCCCACTAGAGACTTGAATGTCTCCCACACAAACATCTTTACGAAAAGCACATATGCTGTATAGTCCTTAATAAAAACTGAAAAGACATTTCAAAGTATCGGCTTTGAAATTCAAAATATTTCACAAGATATTTATATTAAATATTTTTTATTGCATTTTATTTAATTATAAACATCCAGATGTAATAATCAAAATTCCACAATGTTATCTTAACCACTCTTAAAGGGTTAGTTCACCCCAAAATGAAATTTATGGCATCATTTACTCACCCTCAAGTTATTCAAAACATGTATGAATTCCTTTATGGTAGCTAATGACTTCCATAGTAAGAAAAAAATATTAAAGTCAAAGGGTACAGGTAACCATTCGGTTGACCACATTCTTCAAAATATCATTGAAACAACTTGAGGGTGAGTAAACAATGATTTAATTTTCATTTCTGGGGGAACTATTCCTTTAAGTGCTGTATACTTTGCACATTTATGCAGATAATTGCTCTGCACTCACTGCCTCCTCCTGTTGGTACTGCACTCACCAGTGTGTGGCGTTTCATGTGTTCCCTCCGGGTGAACTTCTTCCCGCAGATCTCACAGGGATATGGCCTCTCGCCCGTATGTGAACGCATGTGCCTCTTCAGGATGCACTGGTGCATGGCGGAAAAACTGCAGTATGGGCACTTAAACTTCTTCCTGATCACTGTGAAGTCATTAACTGTGAATAGAGATGAAGAGATGTGAAGAGAGCTGGTTAGAGTCTGAACACATGCAGGTTAAGCCACTGGAAGTATGAGAGTTAATATGTGAGAAGTGTTTAAAAGCAGTGCTGTCTGTTATCATGTCACACTATTACAGGCCCTTTGATATGCACAAAACCAGAGCTAATTTCTGTGGCACGTCTCGTAGCCACACAGAGACCAAGAACATGCGCCAAAGCGTGTTTATGTGTGCTTTCCTTGAGAAGATACAGTAAATACAGGCTTTAAGAAAGAAAAAAAGGAGAGGAGGTGTTAAAAAACTGCTGGCAATAAGGGCAGAGAAAAACTGAGATAAGAGGGGTTTATGGGATATGGCAGAATGCTGTATTTAATAGGGGCCCACTAGAGACTTGAATGTCTCCCACACAAACATCTTTACGAAAAGCACATATGCTGTATAGTCCTTAATAAAAACTGAAAAGACATTTCAAAGTATCGGCTTTGAAATTCAAAATATTTCACAAGATATTTATATTAAATATTTTTTATTGCATTTTATTTAATTATAAACATCCAGATGTAATAATCAAAATTCCACAATGTTATCTTAACCACTCTTAAAGGGTTAGTTCACCCCAAAATGAAATTTATGGCATCATTTACTCACCCTCAAGTTATTCAAAACATGTATGAATTCCTTTATGGTAGCTAATGACTTCCATAGTAAGAAAAAAATATTAAAGTCAAAGGGTACAGGTAACCATTCGGTTGACCACATTCTTCAAAATATCATTGAAACAACTTGAGGGTGAGTAAACAATGATTTAATTTTCATTTCTGGGGGAACTATTCCTTTAAGTGCTGTATACTTTGCACATTTATGCAGATAATTGCTCTGCACTCACTGCCTCCTCCTGTTGGTACTGCACTCACCAGTGTGTGGCGTTTCATGTGTTCCCTCCGGGTGAACTTCTTCCCGCAGATCTCACAGGGATATGGCCTCTCGCCCGTATGTGAACGCATGTGCCTCTTCAGGATGCACTGGTGCATGGCGGAAAAACTGCAGTATGGGCACTTAAACTTCTTCCTGATCACTGTGAAGTCATTAACTGTGAATAGAGATGAAGAGATGTGAAGAGAGCTGGTTAGAGTCTGAACACATGCAGGTTAAGCCACTGGAAGTATGAGAGTTAATATGTGAGAAGTGTTTAAGCCCTGCACATAGCATTAATGCCAAACCTACTTACCAAAGCACTGGGTTAATCTCTCTCTCTCTCTCTCTCTCTCTCGAATAAAATTACTTTAACATTATTGCTGCATTAATATAACGGGCTGATTCATGTTAACCCTAATTATTTTAATGGGTTGAGTCAGGGCTATTTTTATTTTAGGAGCATTCTGTAAAGCCATAAGGGATGACCCAAAGGAGGACATTACTCTACATTAGAATTAGCCAACAGGAAGAACATGTCCAGGTCATATATTACCTCAATATGAAAAGTAAGAAATAAGAACAAAAATTTTGCTTAAAGAAAATGCCCATTTTAAGTACCATTATGTTTTTTTTTCTCTAATACATTGTGACAATACTTTCACAACAGCTAAACATTCATCCGCCCCAAATTTCACATTACTGATGCACAAACAAATTTGGTAACAGGGTTGCCAATCTGCGGTTTTACCACGGAATAGGGCGACGTTTACACTGTTGCTGCAGGTTGTTTTTGAAATCTGCAGTTTGAAGTGATCTCCGCAGAATGCAATTTTGATGGAGGGGACCCCCAACAAAGGAGAAAACGGAGGAAAACACATGATTGGGCTAGTTTTGATTAGCAGTTGGGCAGGTTTTGTTTCTTAGACCTGGCAATCCTGTTTGGTAATTTGGTAAAAAAATTTGGTAAACTAACAATGAACAACAATCTAGTCCAATATATAATATAAATATACTATTGTTCATCAGTTCATATTCATCTATATTCATATATAGTATTTCAATCATACATAGTATTACGGTACTCTTCACCATATAAGAGTACAAAAAAATTACAGTGAGAATCACTATTTGAGAATAATAGGAATTACCAACAATGTAAAAAAAAGAAAAATACCCTAACATTATTAATGAGCATATTATTAAATTTAAATATTTGTATTTTTACCCTTTTAAGCAAGGAAAAAAGTCACCTGTAAATTGTCACTATTCATCATGGTATTATTATTGCCACATTCACATCAGTTACTGTATATCCTTTCCAATTCCTCCTATCCTTTGTGTCATCTAGTGGCAGACACTGAAGATAGCCAAAGCACTGACAAACTGCGAGAGGGATACTCTCCCTAACTCACCTGCCCTTAGCTACCAAAAGCAGCCCCAAAAGACAGTTTCCCTAGCAACCACAGCACCGAAACAGATTTTACAGCTCAAATTCAACAAAGAAAGCTGAAAAACCCACAACGCAGCATAGCATAGCTTCCTATTGTTTGCTGAACAATTGCTGCACAAATTATCAACCCAAACTCACAAAACCAAACATCAATTCCACTACTTCTTGTTCTAATTTTTCTGTCTTCTGTTAGTAAAAGATTCAGACAGAGGCATGTGCTTTGTGTTATTCATAGTATGATGACTGTAATCTCATTAGGCATTGGTCTATACTGGCTCAGCTAATAAGCGGATAAGCACCATTTAGGTAAGGACAGACTTGAAGCCCAGGTTTACCTTATAATCCATACACATGAAAGACGTGATGAGCTGAAATGGCAAAACCAAAATGCTGCACATTTACTACTTCAGAATCTGAAAAACTGCCCTGGAACTGACCAAAACCAACATGCTGCACATTTACTAATTTAGAATCTGAACAACTGCCCTGGAACTGACATTTCTCTACATTTTTTTAAACAGCTGATGGTCAGATCTGACCTATGACAAGTTTAAATTTAAGGTAGCAAATAAACCCCAAAATTGTAGTAAAACAAATCTATTTGTAGCTGATAACAACAGGTTCTCAATTTATTTTTATTATTAGTAAAATAAAATGACCACAGTTTATGTGATGCTTTACGTCAACATTTATTGTCTAAAAAATGACAACCAACCAGTTAGTATGGTTCCAAAATACATCATTTACAGAAATCTTTTTGGTTTTAGTCTAAAGGATATATTTTTTCTTTTCAGTCATAAAAAAAATAGTGCAATTCAAAACAGCTGTGACTGAGATTTCTGATGTGTTTTTTTTACACCCACCATTCAAATCTCTTCAGACAATATCAGAGTGCACTAGTCCTTTCGTTTTCTGAGGAGAAAGTGCTAAGACCTTGAAAACGTCAGTGCAAATCTCTCTCTCTTTTTGCATCGGTGATAAACAATGATTCCTCTAACAAATCACCCCAGATTCAATGCAGCAACACACTTAACAGTTTGAAAGATAACGTCATGCTTTCATTCTGTAACTTGGAAAGTTGTTATAAGCAGACCAAGCAGATATTTTGTTTGACGAAACACAACAAAGTTTTACATATGACAGAAAGATCGGATAGTCTATGCAAAAAGTGTATGATACCTTAAAGATCTTTACAAAGACAACAGACAAACATCTTATTTTCTGAGGGAAAAAAGAAAAGAAAAGAAAGAAAAACAGCGAAAAGAAGAGGCCTTTTGCATACTTGGGTATAAGATTTATGGGTAAGTTTAGGTGGTTCTAGTGACAATACACTTTCTCACTGCTGTGTCAGTAAGAATGTCGACACATTCACAGTTTCTGGCACAACTGATTTACTGCAACACTGCAAATCCATTGATTTCAAAGAGGAAAAATTAGTGACACTCAAAAGTTGCAAAAATGCTAACGGGTTCTGTTGCAGTGCGCACTGCATTTGTTGACCAATCACAGAGATTCTTAGAGAGGCGAGTAGAATTTCAGAATGGATATGGATATTTGCTGTATTTTCGCTTGATTTCAACCTCTAAGCTCTTCCACACTCTCAAAATGGATTTAACACGTCCCTTATCCACCGAACACCCCATCAGAGCTGCCTCTAATCTGTAAGCGCCCACTGATACACAAATGAACTTGCCATAACTGAATGACATATGTTGTGTGAAAATCGCAATTAATGTAAAAACATCTCCTCCAGGAATTACTACAAGTGTAGACTGCCTTGAAAATTTCCCAGAACTCTACCAGATAACTTTGTGGTCTGACCGCTCAATGGCTACGTTTACATGCACAATTTTTGGTTCAATCGGACTGAATTCATTCCGATTGATGAATCTGAATGTAGTGTTTACATGAACGCTAAATAAAGTGATCGGGTTGATGTGCGCATTTATATGTCACAAGCTTCAAATCGGAATGAATTTTTTTGACATGCGCACACTGCACAAATATAGAGTTTCTCACTGTTTGCACATAATAACCACTCTCCTACACGGCTTCTTTATTTGTTTTTATTAGCAGCATTAATATTTATTAATTTATGTATAAATATACATATAAACCGCTGTGCCGTGCTGCTCATATTTATCACGCCGTAAAAATGCCCCTCCCCGCACCCAAAACGGGTTG